TCAAATATTCATAGTATTTATAGTGCATTCTGAAAGCAGTTTTTCATTCTTCTTCTTCTTTTATTCTAATCAGATTATAAGCTTCTTTTAGATTCAGAACTATAAACTATTATACTTCTTACAGCTTATCTTATAATTCCTTAATAAATAGTAATAAATATCAGTTCTTAATTATAATATTATTAAATTGCTTATAATTAATATATAGCTTAAGCTTGCTATTCTTTTTAAGTATAAATAGAATAAGATATTCTGCTAATAATTGCAATAATTATATATATTTCTTCTTAAAATTCTTATTAAGATATTCCTTGAATGCTTCTAATTATACTTTATTTAGTTCATAGATAGAAAAGAACTTGAGCTGTTTTTCTTCTTATAGCAGAATCTTATAATCGTATAAGCTGTATTCCAATAATTCTGTATCCAATTCTCTCTGAAATAGTTTCTTAAACTTGTAATATTCTTATAATATGTTTGCAAGTATTAGTTCTAATTCTTGTACTGTTTCTACTATCTGAAGGAACAGTAGATACTATTAAGCATGCTTCTTTTTATTTGTTATTTTTGATAACATTTTTGAGAGCTTTAAGCATTTGCTTCAAGCTAAACTGAGCGCTCGAGAGCTTGGTTCCGAGGTTTTTCTTATATAGTTTTACAATTTATATTCTAAAGCTTTTCCTTGCTGCTCTGAAGCGAACCAACTTGCTAAGAGTCTCGCTTCTGTTATTTTGCTAATCTGTTAGCATTCTGGTACTATTTGGATTCGCTTATTACTAGATCCTTCTTCTTGAATTGCTAGCTTTGCTGATTTAAAAATATTTGTAAAGTTGTTTGAAGCTTCTTTTTCTGAGTATTCTTCAATAACTAGCTTCGATTCTGCACTACTGATTGCAACTATTTCTCTGAGTATAGCTTGTTCTTATAAGAGCTAGCTAGTAGTTCAATTGATTTAAGGATTATGCTTCTTAAGCTATAGAAGCTTTATAATCAGCTTATGCTATACTATATCTGTAATATCAAAGAAAGCTCTGATTATGCATTCTTGGATCAAGATAGATAGATGATCAGTCTTCTTATTAATTACTTCTTGATTGTATGCAACAGATTATTCTTCTATAGTGCTGAAAGTATATAAGCATCTTTTCTATCTCTATTGTAGTTATGCTTAATTAATAATATATGGAAATATAAAGTTTCTTTAAGTATTACTGTTTAATAGTATGCTATATTTGTATTCTTGAATGTATATATCAAACTTAATATAAGTATAATCTATCTTAGAAGCTTTATATAGGAATTATTCTAATCTGATTATCTGTAGTTTCTTTATAAGCAATCCTATTCTTTTAAGATTATTAAGAACTGCTTGTTCTTCTAAGCTTGCTTTACTGCTTCTCAAGCAAGCTTCTTAGCTTGCTTTTGCTTATATCATTATTATTTCTAATCTTTCTTCTATTAATGCTAGTTGCAAACCTTATTGCTAATATGAATCGTGCAGAGTATTATCTTATACTGCTATTATTTTATCTTCTTATCTATATATTATATGAAATAGTTATTGTAATGAGCACTGCAGCAATCCGAAGATTCCAAAGTATACAAAGGGGGTTTATGCTAACAAGAGCAGTATCAAAGTGCTAAGTCCTTGAATACAGAATCATACAAGTCTCAGTAAGCAATGCAAGTATTCACTGCCTTTGGGGCTATCAGAGTAGAGAGTAATCTGATACTTAGATTGATAACTGAAAAGCTATATACTAAATCCATCTAATGGTAATGAATATATTCTTATATATCCAGCTTTTCAGTTCTAACTAACTTAACTATATTATAATTTCTTATAGTTATCTCTCCGAATATATTAACTATGTTCATAGCTAATATAATTATGCTAGCAATCCTAATCCGGATTATATAATCCTGATTAGTATTCGATGTTAAATTGTAATATCTGATTCCTTGATTAGTAGAGCTTATTCTATAATCTGCATATTAGATGAGTTATAATATTATTTCTCTTCTATCAGTTGTTATTCTTAATGATCTTCTATAAGTATTCTGGCAAGTTCTTTGTATGCATGATCTTGCCTTCCTGATTGAAATATTGAACAGAATCAACAAATTCTATATTTGCAAACCTTCTTCTGTTCCAAAGAGTATCCAAGATCAAGATCTTTTGATTTCCTATCTCTTGGAAAATTTTATCAAGATATTTATCTATTCTTATTGCAAGGATTGTAGTTTCAGATTCTATAAGGTATCTTTCGGAAACTCTTCTCATTGTATCGAATGCATTCAATTAAGCTGCTTCAAGTGCAATATCATAAGCTCTTTCTCTGAGAAGCTTCGCAATATCGCTATTCAATATCGAAAGTTAGAGAATGAGATTGAGAAGAGGAAGATCAAGCTTCTCTATCTGTATTAATAGAAGCGGATATAATCCGAGAAGATGAAATGTACTCTGCATTATAGCATTACTTGCATAAAGAAATTGGATTGTATGGAAGCTAAGGAAGCTGAGGCTGAAAGAATGCGTATTGCTGCTGAAGTGCAGGCTGTAGTAGCAAAGAAATCTGTTATTGTAGCTAGAAATTCTTCTTTTAAAGGTTTTAACTGGAATTCTGTAGATTTAAGAGATTCTGTAGTAGATTGATTGAGCTTTCTGAAGAGTGAGATTTCTGAAGCTTCTGAGTTTTAGTTTAGAGCAGAGCGATTGTTTTAGGTACTGGTTTTCTTCCTTTTCTAATACTTAGCTACTCTTTCTTGAGCATTCTCAATATTCTTCTGTAATTCTTATAAGTTTTCGCTTGCTGAGTAGTCTTTCCATTTGATAAGATATTCTCTCGTGCTGTTTATGCTTCTATGCTTAAGAATCTTTTCTATCTTATATTCTAGTTCATTATTCTCTGCTTCTACTGTATCATTCATTAGTATTTCCTATACTGCTAATTTCAGCAGTAAGATATGAAAAATCAAGTATATTCTCATTTTATAAGATAATACTAACTTATAATTAATTGAGAAAATCTATTGCAAGATTTTGAATAGTTCTAATTTCTTATAATTAAGCTTATTGCTAGATTTAATTATTTTAATATTTTTTTAAAATAAGTAGATCTTATCTTCCTTCTGTAAGATTAGTCTCTCAATTCTTTTGGAGTTTGCATATTGCATTATTCATTCTTGAATGAATTGTAATTCTGATCAAAGTTTCTTCTGAACTTTTCTAATCTTCTTAATTCTTTTATCTGCAGCTTCTGCATCTACTTCTAATAATGCTTTATAATAAGCTATTGGATTATATTTATAGAATATAAAGAATAGTAATTTCTTTATTATGCTTATATCTGCACTATTATAAGCAAACTATATAAGAGATAATAGATTAACTTAATTATTCTATTCTTAGTTTATATAATATTAAAGATATTATTTAATAATCTAATTCATTCTTTCTATTTATTTATTTGTTTATAGATAAAATGCTATAAATATTCTGTAGTATATTTCAAGCTATTTTATAAGTAAAGTTTAAAACTTTGAATTGAACTTTCTATTTCTATTAGAGATTACTTTTTCTGATATACTATAATTAGCGATAATTATTCTGAGAAATGCATATACAAATTCTTCTGCTATACTGCTTTTCTTATAGAAAAGAAAATAAGCATACTTGCTTAATCTGCAAATTACTATTAGAATGCTATTATATTACATCTTAGTTAAGAGTTCTTATAAAAGAAATAGCTTAGTAATAAAGTTTAGATTAATAGATTGCTAAATAGTTGTAAGTATTAGTAAGAGGTATAGTAGTTTATAAAGCTTATATCTTTCCGCTTTATTCTTCTTGCAGCTATTGCATTATTATAAGATGTTTTCAATTCTTTTTCTAAAGCTTAGTAGATTTCAGTATTTTTTAATATATTTATAGATTACTCTAACTCTCTGATATTTGTATGCTAGTATACTGTATATATTCTTGATATAGTTATCTTGTTCGTCTGGAGTTATTGATTCTAAATTCTCTTTCAAAAATCTAATTCTGAAGGCAGCATTTAGTTCTCTATATATATTGATAAGATTTTCTAATTTATTTTAAGCGAAGATGTTCTATATATTCGAAGAATCTGTATCTCGATAGTCTGATTTTCTACTAAGAGCGTTTGCTTATTCGTTCTCCGAGCTTTTGCAGTATACAATCTTGTGGCAGTGGCCATAGGGGCCTCAAGTGAATGAGGCTTGGCTGGCCACCCTGACTCACTGGCCTGGGCCATTCAATGGAAGGGCAGTGAGTCGCCAGGTACGCTAGCCTAGTTGGGACTAGTACCAATTGCTGGCTCTATAGAAAGGCAATTGGCAACAGCGTGCCTTGAGATAGATTAATTGAAGAACCATCTTCCCTTCTACCATTTGTACAGCCCCTAGAGTGCCTTCTACAAGTGGTAGCTACGATCATACACTGCATTGAGGATTCACCCCACGAAGCCACTGCGCTGATACGCCCACCTGGGAAATCAGCGGCCTTGGCAACCCAAAAACACCAAAAGCCCACTATCGTGAAGATCGTGGCACCAAAACAACAAGCCCTTGGCACCACGCTTACCTGAGACTGTGCTACGGACTTCCCTGATGCGTTACGCTCACCTGAGACCTCGCAAACAGGCGTTTTCATCAAAAACACCACAAAAAACCATCAAAAACACGCCCACGGGCATTCACAAGCATTCACAGCTAAGCTGTTTTTTCCTTTTACCCCGTTGCTGGTGGAAGCTCTGGCAGTTGAAATCAGCAAGCATACTCTGATCCTCGCGAGCACGGTTCAAGACATCCTTGCGCAGACGCCACGAGTTACCCTGATTACAGCACGCTCGCCTGAGAAGCCTAAACCATCTCCTAGCTTTCATATCCGTCTGTCGCATATCGCCAAATTGGCTTGATTAGCAGCGATTTACTGTTGATTTTGACCCCAGCTAGACAGCCTAACAGCTGAGCTAACTATGAGCAGTTTCTCAAAGAACTCAACAAGATCGCTCGCATACCGTGCTACCACAGCTGACCTAGCTGCCAGTCTGGCATCACAACTAGGCAAAGACCCTGAACTTCTCCACAGTCGCTCGATCAGCAACAACGCAATGGCGCCCCAAGAAGAGGAGAATGCCAGTCAGAACAACCCGTTCCAGGCAGAAGACTACCATGGCAACAGCTCAGCACTGTTCGAGTCCCCTGCTGCGCAACGCGAGACTGGCACTCTCCAACACGAGGATCCTGAAGAACCAGCCAACTTCTCAAACAACCCTGCCTTTAAGGAGTACATTCGTTATATCAAGACGCAGGCTGACGACGCTAAGATAGCTGCGATCCACGCAAACCTGGAAATCAGGAAGATCTCGGAAGCTGTGGCGCATCTTGAGACCCAGCAAGCTACAATAGCTATCAAACAAGGAGCTCTCGATACTCAAGTCGGTAAACAAACCGACATACTAGCCCAGCTGATGCATCACTTCAAGCTTGGCTCTGAAGCCACCGCTTCAGATATTCGCTTTCAAGCTAGCAATGGTAATCTACCCCTTGCTGTACCTGGCTCTTCACAAGATTCAGCAGCCCCCCAACGAGCTGTTCACTATAGCGCTGAAGGAGGTAACTCTGATGATTCGGGTAACAACTTCAACGATCAAGGAAGCGGTGACGGAGGCCATCATCCTCCTGACAGGCCTCTAGGATCTGGATCAGGCAACCCCCGTAACCAGCGCAACAATACTCCGTTCTCTAACCGATCAAGCATTCAGCACATTACGAAAATGAAGAGAGAGGAACTTGGAATCTTCGACTCTGAATACAACAACCCCGAAGATGTTAGCATAGTTACAGTTAGCAAGAATCTCGTTTTTACTGATATCTGATCTTTTCTAAACCATCTTGAGTTTCTCAAAGACAGCACGAATGATGCTAATATCGAGAACGAGATATTGCGCATATTCAGCATCTTACTATAAGGCGCTGCTATTTACTGGTAAACCAACGAATTGATTAATACCAAACGCTCTAAGCTTTGCTAAGGAGGTTACAGCGTTATCACCAATCTTCTGGCCCAGCGCTTTGCTATGAAACCTATGCATGCTATGCGAAAGTTTCGTAAGAGCTATCTAACATTGAGAAATATTGCTGAGAACGAGTTTGCCCTGCGAAAGTTCATTTAAAAGAATCTTTGGTATATGCATAGTATGAGTATTCTCAACTGCGAAAACCTTAACTGAAAGAGCGCTCTGAACAACATCTGAAGCAAGATGAATGAACGCATTCAGCACCACCTTGCCCCTCCTCGCTGCTACAACACTCTGAACGAGTACATGAAGGAAGTCGAGCAGGCCAAGAGTATTTTGATTAACATAGCTGACCGGCGATACCCTGAGTACTATAGAGGAAAAAGTAGTCGTCGCAATCGTTCACCTGCTTGCAAGTATAATTCTCGCACCAGCAGCAGCTGCTGTAATGATTGTGATCACTGCAACCGCTGCAACGACTGTAATTGGAATCGCAGAAAGGATTGTAGCTATAACTGCTGCAACAAGGATTGATCAAGCTATTGTAACAAGAGCGTAATTCGTTCCTCAAGATACAAGCTTCGAGATTGCAATTCATATCGAAATTGGGATTCCAACTGCAACAAGTCTCGGGATCGCAACTGCAACTGTGATTACAATCAGTCCAAGAAGGATAGCAAGTCTGAGGATTGCAAGAAATGCAACTGGAGTTACTTAGCAATCTCCGATAAAAAGAAAGCTTATAATGTTACCGAGAACAAGAATGAAGATATGCTCTCTGAGAACAACAGTGATGATCTACCTTCGCCTGGCGATAAGCAGGTATACTGGATCGATAGTTCTGAACAATCGCCCTCACTAACCTCGTCATACTACTCTCGATCGCCTAGCCCTGTAGGCTGCATCTACAACCTACGCGAAGTCGACCACCCAGTCAACTGCACGTGTATCTTCTGTAACAGAGAGTTTGATTCTCGAAGCTAGATATTCCAGCACGTAGACGCTTGCCAGAACCGAAACCAGAAGACGAACATCTTCAAAGAAGTTAAGAGACGTCTGAAGCATGCTATGTCTTTTGGAATAGCTTCGCCTGAGACAAGCACACTATCAATCCAATACCGTGCTGAAGACATTCTCACAGAGGCCACGCCCGAGAAGCAGCTGAACAAGCTTATCAGCAGTTATACTCATATGAAGATCACTGTACAAGCTACTCCCACCGAACATGATATAACCCTCTGCAAAGACACTAGCACTGGCCACAACTTGGTGAACCGATAGTTCCTCAGTCAGTTCCCTACTGCTGAGGTCTCAGTCCACAAGCCTCAGAAGATCGGGGGTATGGAAAAGAGCACAATCACGCTGTCTAAATACGCTGAATGAGACTTCTACGCCTGTGGCAGGCGTACTGACGGCTCTCCTGGATTGCTATGCCAGCGCGCTGAGGCGTGGATCGTGAACGATCTACCCGCTGGAGCCCTTATCAGCAACGGATGGCTCAAAGCCCGCAAGGCCATCATCAACTACGAGAACCAAGCTATTACATACCCAGAGCAAAGCAACTTCCAGGTGCCTTTCGAGATTCAGCATCAGGCCCTCTCACCTACAGTGCGAAAGATGAGAATAGCCCATGCCTATATTATCAGCCCTGGCGAGACTGCTCAGATAGCTGTAAAATACGCTAAACTGCCCAAAAGCCGCTCATTCTCTTTCACATTAACCCACGGAACCGCGCTGAACGCGCAGATCGATGCTTCTTCACCCCCTGTAGTAGCCCTGCACAATGCTACGGAGAGAGCTGTCAAGATCCCCAAAGGCATGCAGATAAGCACTATCCACAAGTATGAAAATACTGGATAGTTCAAAGCTACCTTTAAGAGCGCTGTAAAAGCCCTAGCAGTAGCAGCTGCCTTGGGAGGACTAGCATCAACCTACCAGCCAGCCAACACCCGCGCGATAGGTGCACACGACGTGCAATTCGCGTTTTCATTGAAGATTCCTGTTAGTCAGGTAGCAGTGAACAGAGAGTTCGACCTCACACCAGAGATCATCGCGACAGCCAAGGGTGCAGAGACAGAGATACGCCCGATTAGCAACTTCCTGCACAAGAAAGGCCTATCCTCCACACCTTACAGCGATGCTGTTTGTCAGTCCCTGAGCAACATGGGAATAGCCTATGGCATCGACCTTTCTGCGAATGCCGAGCTTCTACCGTCCAACAACTACAACCTCGATACAAGGAAACCTTCGACCATCATCAAGGGATCTCTGAGAATCAAGGCTCCAGATGAAGCTCCAGCTATAATCCTTGACAACAGCGTTCGCATCTATTCGCAGGACCCCATCAAAGCTCAGCAGTTCAAGAAGATTATCGAGAAATATCCGGCTGTATGGGAAAACAAAGGCTCTCTTAACATGCCAGAGAACCAGATGATGAAGATTCCCTTGATAGAGGGATAGCAGCATGCGAAGCTGAATCGCTCTCGTTATTCTGTTTCTCGCAAAGATGAGAAGTTCATCAACCAGATATACGAGGATATGCACGAAGCTGGCTGTCTCGAATTCGCTGACAACGTCTGCCCGTTCGCATTGCTAATCTTCGTAGTCTGGCATACAGTATACGGGAAGAAAAAGAGCTATATCATCGCGGACCTCAGAGCTCTTAACAAGTAAGCAGTATCTAACAACTATCCCCTTCCTCTTCAGTCAGACGTAATTGAAGCTATATGCGGTAAACAATACATCACAGTCATCGACGCCACAGCTTTCTTCTACCAGTTCCCTATCCACCCAGAATACCGAGACTATCAGACCATAGTCACGCACCGTAGCCTTGAGCAACCAATAGTAGCCCTGATAGGCTACTGCAACTCGCCCGCTTACGCTCAAAGATACATGGACAGGCTGCTTCGTGAACACAGGCACTTCGTTAAGGCGTTCATTGACAACATTGTGATCTTCTCCAACTCGTTTATGGATCACCTAAAGCACCTCAATACAGCTCTTAGCATCTTCGACAAGAAGAGGATTTCTATCTCTTCCACAAAGAGTCACATCAGCTTTCCCTCTATCGAACTGCTTAGCTTCTATATCAATACGCTTAGCTTATTCACTACGAAAGAGCGTACTGAAGCCTTTCAGAAGATAACCTTCCCTAGAAACCTCAAAGATCTCGAGACCTACCTCGGCGCAACTGGTTTCCTGCGAACGATGATCCCTTACTACGCACAGCTCGTAAAGCCGCTTCAACTACGCAAGACAGCGCTGCTAGCTAAAAGCCGCAAGCTTGGGAAAATCACGCCTGGGAAGAAGTTACAGCATCAGGCCTATATACGTCGCATATACTACGAACCGACGAACGCTGAAAGAATAGCTTTCGAGAACTTGCAGAACACTATCTGCAAGAAGATGCATCTGTACCACATGAAACCATCTCAGAAGCTGTTCATCCAAGTGAATAGCTGCTTGCAACGAGGATTCAGCGTGATAGTCTTTCAGCTGAAGGAGGACTACGCTTGGCAGCCTAGCAAGCTAATTCCTTCGTACGCTATCAAACTAGTAATATTCCTTAGCTGCTGCTTAACGAAGGCTGAAATGAACTACAGTCCCTCTGAGCAAGAAGTTGCATATCTGGTCTGAGCAACGAAATGCCTGTACAAGTTGATTTAGTTAAACTAAGCGCAGCTTGTGATTATTCTCACAGATCACGACGCCACGCATAGCATCGTTACCCAAATGCGCCTTGATATCTCATTAACAGACCGTGCGAACTGACGTCTTGTCAACGCCTCCATCTATCTCAGCCAGTACCAGTTCGACATTCACTATCTAGCTGGGAAGCTCAACTACATCCCTGATGCCTTGTCAAGGCTGTCTGCGACAGGGGATACGGAGGCACGACAGAGCGACGAACCAGCTACTCTTGACACAGTGGTTGACAACCTTCCCACAGTCTTCCTTGTCTTATCGGAAGCACAGATGTCTGAAGATATGCGACAGCGCTTCTGGCAAGAGTACAAGGAGGATATAGTCTACAGTAATATCATCACGAACCTGACGAAGATCGGTTCAGCCGGAAAGAAGCCTCCTGCCTTAACAAACAATGGAGATATTATCTCTGCTTCTAAGCCCGGCTACCCATTCCGCCTGAAGAACCAACTGTTGTACAACTACGATAACGATGGAAAGGAGCGCCTCGTCGTCCCACAACCCCTCGTGCAGAAACTTCTGCGCAATTCTCACAACAATAAACACCACTTCGGCAGAGACTGCATGATGGCTGAATTGGATGATCTTTACTTCAGGAAGAAGAGACTGCTCGTCTCTCAGTACATCGATCACTGCCACAAGTATGGCGCTCAAAAGAAGCAAAATCAGAAGCTAGCAGATTTACTTCAGCCAATTCAAGCCCCCTCTAAACCTATGTATACAATCTTCCTCAACTTTATCCTTGGACTGCTATCAGTCAAATCAACAGGCATTCCGTAGCAGATGAAAGGCTTCAAAGCTTACAACTTACTGATGCCCGTTACTTGCAAAACCTCCAAGAGAACCCTACTGATTCCAGGCCACTCAACCTACTCAGCTAAGCAATGGGGAGCTGTTCTGGGCAGACAGCTGCTGTTGAGCGACTGGGCATGCTCTCGAGCAATTATCTCTGACTGCGACGCCAAGTTCACCTCAGACTACTGAACTGGCCTGTGGAAGACCTTTAGCACGCATTTGCAGATAATCACAGCATACTACCCTCAGGCTGATAGAGCAGCTGAACGAAAGAATCAGAATGTCGAGCTAGCTATCAGATACCACGCCGCTGAACACCCTAACAAGGTTTGGATAAACCTAATTCCCTCTTTGCAGTGGAATCTGAACAACTCATACCAACGCTCCATCAATGCAAGCCCTTACGAATTCCTATTCGGATTCAAGATCCAGTTACCATCAGATCAATTAGTCAACATTACCAAATAACTATCCGAGATACGCTTTATGCATGAATACCTGCAAAAAGATATGCAATTAGCTATGGACATCGTTGCAGCAGACAACAAACGCGCGTACGATGCTAAATACTGACACGAAGAGTACGAGAAGGGCAACAAGGTCTGGCTAAAACTTGGCAAGGCATACAAGCCACTACTATATCAGAGCAACAAGATGCAGGCTCTTCGTGAAGGGCTGTTTACAATTATCAGAAAAGTGTTATCTTTAGCTTATAAGCTTGATTTCAAAACTGGCGACTATGATGCTAACGTTCAAGTATACCCAGTAGTCAGCATTCAGTATCTGAGTTAATACAAACCTACTAACAACCCCTTCAATCGCCAACTACCTGAGCCTAGCCCGATCGAGCACAACGAGAACAGCAACGACTCAATTGAACCTAACGAAAACTACTACGAAGTCGATCGCATCGTGGACAAGAAGATCGAGCGACGAGGTGGCAAGAATACAGTACGATACCTGGTACGATGGAAGGGATGGTCCTTACAGCACGATCGCTGGAAGGATCTGAGGAGTCTCAAGTGCCCTGGCCTCATCGAGGAATACGAAAGCGCACACCCCGACAAGGCTACGGAGATTCTCGTAGAGGACGGCCCAGCTGACCCCGTGAAGAGAAAGCTCGGCCGGCCCTTCAAGAAGCCGTTGCCTGACAACAACGAGGATGGAAATGCCGTGCCGGCACGAAGAAAGCGAGGTCGGCCTGCCAAGATCACAGCCTCCCCGGCTGTCAACATTGACACGTCTGACAACGCGTCTGGAGGCCTCCCTAAGCCTGAAAAGGATGGAAAACAGGGCCCTGGAGCCTCTCCTGGCCTCCGAAGAAGCGCGAGACTGACACGTGGGCACGTGACCCCTAGATAGCTGCTGAGGACAGCAGGAACGTTTTTCCGTGGCCGGCACTTGTGGCAGTGGCCATAGGGGCCTCAAGTGAATGAGGCTTGGCTGGCCACCCTGACTCACTGGCCTGGGCCATTCAATGGAAGGGCAGTGAGTCGCCAGGTACGCTAGCCTAGTTGGGACTAGTACCAATTGCTGGCTCTATAGAAAGGCAATTGGCAACAGCGTGCCTTGAGATAGATTAATTGAAGAACCATCTTCCCTTCTACCATTTGTACAGCCCCTAGAGTGCCTTCTACAAATCTTAAAGTTGAATTATAAGAGAAATTCTGCTTATCTGATTTATTGCTTATTCAAAATCTTAATTATTATAAATATAATTAGATTCTTATAATCCGAGTAAACTATAATCGAGTTGTAATGAGCACTGCAGCAATCCGAAGATTCCCAAGTACACGAAGGGGTTTATGCTAACAAGAGCGGTATCGAAGTATCAAGTCCTTGAATACGAAACTGTACAAGTCTCAATAAGCGATGCAAGTATTCACTGCCTTTGGAGCTATCAGAGTAGAGAGTAATCTGATACTTAGATTAACAACTGAAGAGCTATGTACTGAATCTATCTAATGATAATGAATGTATCCTTATATATTCAGCTCTTTAGTGTAGCTTGTTGGGATCGCTGGTAAGTATAGCAATCCAAGGTATAAAGCTCATTGGGATCGCTAGCGAGCCCAACGATCCTCCCTCCTTTACAACCCTAACCCTGGATTATATAATCAATGCTTTATCAGAATGTTGAGTTCTTGATACCTGATCCCTATTACTCATGATCTGTTCTGTGATCTGCATGTTGAATGAGTTATAACATCATCTCTCTCCTATTAGTCATTATTCTTAACGATCTTCTGTAAGTATTCTAGCAAGTCTTTATATTCATGATCTTGTCTTTCTAATCGAGATGCTGAACAGAATTAACAAAATTGCAAAACCGAAATCCTCGAATTCTTGTTCTGATAAAAAGAAGCAGAAAGATCTCCTTTTTCAGTTCATTCTTTCAAACGGTTTCGATATGCATTCCTGTTCTTATTGCAACAGTTGAGGCCTGCAATCGTGTATTGTTTCTTCTTACGATTCATCCCGTTGCTCGGAGTGCGTTTCCCAGAATTGCACCAAGTGCGACGTTCTGAAGCTGATGAACGCTGCTGAACTCCTCCTTACCTCTACTCAGCATCGAAAGCTGGAAGACGAGATAGAAGAGTTGGAGTTGAAGTTGCTTCGACTGCGTTAACAAAAGAAGATGTAGCGTGAGAGAATGTCTCGAGCTATTCATCGAGATCTCAAGAACCTCGAAGAGCTTGAGAAAGAGGAAGCTGAGGAAGCTGAGGCTGAGAGGGTTTGTGTTGCTGCTGAAGTGCAGGCTGTGATGGCTGAGAAATCTGCTATTGTAGCTGAAGATTCTTCTTTTGAGGGTTTTGATTGGAATTCTGTGAATCTGAGGAATTCTGTAATAAATTGATTGAGCTTTCTGGAGAGTAAGGTTTCCGAAGCTTCTGAGTCTCGGTTCAGGGCGAAGCGATTATCTTAGATGCTAGTTTTCTTTTTCCAATATTCAGCTACCTTTTCCTAAGCATTTTTAACGTTTTTCCGCAGTTCCCAAGAATTTTCGCTAGCTGAGTAACCTTTCCATTTGATGAGATATTCCCTCATGCTATCTATGCTTCTATGCTTGAAGATCTTTTCTACCTTGTATTCTGGTTTATTATTCTCTATTTCTGCTGCATTATCCGTTAGTATTTCCTGTACTGCTGATTCCAGTAGTAAGATATGGAAAATCAGATATATTCTCATCTCATGAGATAGTGCTAATTCGTAATTAACTAGAGAGATCTGTTGTAAGATTTTGAATGGTTCTAACTTCTTATGATTGAGTTTATTGCTGAATCTAGTTGTTTTGATGTTTTTTCGAAGTAAGTAAATCTTATCTCCCTTCTGTAGGATTAATCTCTCAATTCTCTTGGAGTTTGCATATTGTATCATTCATTCTTGAATGAATTGTAATTCTAATCGGAGTTCTTTCTGAACTTTTCTAATCTTTTTAATCCTTTTATCTGCAGCTTCTGCATCTGCTCCTTGCAGTGCCTCGTAGTAAGCTGTTGGATTGTATCTGTAGAGTATGAAGAATAGTAACTTCTTTATTGTGCTTGTATCTGTACTGTTATAAGCAAATTATGCAAGAGGCAATAGATCAATCCAGTTATTCTGTTTCTGGTTGATATAGTATCGAAGATACTATTCAATAATCTGATTCATTCTTTCCGTCTATTTATCTGTTTGTAAGTAAAATGCTATAAATATTCTGTAGTATATTCCGAGCTATTTTATAAGCAAAGTTCAAAACTTCGAGTTAAACTTTCTATTTCTATCGGAGATTACTTCCTCTAGCATGCTGTAATTAGCAATAATCATTCTGAAGAATGCATATGCAAGTTCCTCTGCTATACTGCTTTCCTTATAGAGAAGAAAATAAGCATACTTGCTTAGTTTGCAAATTATTACTAGAATGCTATTATATTGCATCTTAGTTAAGAGTTCTCATAAGAGAGATAGCTTAGTAATAAAGTTTAGACTAATAGATTGCTAAACAGTCATAGATACTAATAAGAGATGCAGTAATTCGTAAAGCTTATATCTTTCTGCTTTATTCTTTTTGCAGCTATCGCATTATTATAAGATGTTCTCAATTCTTTTTCTAAGGCTTAATGGATTCCAGTATTTCTTGATACATTTATAAGTTGCCTTAATCTCCTGATGCTTGTATACTGATGCACTGTATACATTCTTAATATAATTATCTTATTCGTTTGGAATCATTGATTCTGAATCCCTTTCCAAGAGTCCGATCCTAAGAGCAGCATTCAGTTCCCTATGCATATTGATAAGATTTCTCAACTCATCTTGAGCGAAGATGTTCTATATATCCGAGGAATCTGCATCTCAATAGTCTGATCTCCTGCTAAAAGTATCTGCTCATCCGTTTTCTAAGCCTTTGCAGTATACAATTTTAAAGTCGAACTGTAAGAGGAATTCTGCTCATCTAACTTATTGCTTATTCAAAACCTTAATCATTATAAACATAATCAGATTCTTATAATCTGAGTAAACTATAATCGGATATTATGCATCAATAAGATAGTATTGCTACTCCTCGAAAGCCTTCACTATTGCCATAAATTCCTGATCAGAGATTTCATAATTAATTTCCAAGCTATTCAACTTCTTTGAAAAATTGCTCATAATCCTTAAACATTCTTAGTCATCTCACTAACCAAGTTATCCTCCAAATACATATCCTAATACATCAGTCTCAACTTCAAAAAGCTTATAAGGATCTGCTTCACACAGAACTAGTTCTAAAGTAACATATCTAATAATCTCATTAAAAGCTTCTTATACCTTGGAAATTCATTTAAAGAGTTGCTCCTTCTTAGTAAGATTTGTAAAGAGATATGCAATCCGACTGTAGTTCTTAATAAACTGTTTGTAGAAGTTAACATATCCAAGAAAAAACCTAACATTCTTAACATTCCTGGGAATTAGCTAGTTTCTAACAGCTTCTATCTTATTCTTCTGTAGCTTGATGCATCCTAGCTTAATCGTAAATCCGAGATAGTCAACTTTTTGTATATGAAAGTAGCTCTTTGCAGGTTTCACAAGAAGTCTTGCATCTTGAAGCATTTGCAATACTGTTTCTACATGTTTCTTATATTCTTCAAATATTCAAGAGTAGATAAGAATATTATCGAGATAGGCAATGATAAACTGATCCAGATGCTTGCATAGAATGTAATTGATCATTTCCTGAAATGAAGCTGGAGCGTTCGTTAGATTAAAGAGCATAATCAAATATTCGTAGTATTTATAGCATATCCTGAAAGCAGTTTTCCATTCTTCTCCTTTCTTTACTTTAATCAGATTATAAGCTTCTTTCAGATTCAGAACTATAAACCACTGTACTCCTTGCAATCTATCTTATAGTTCTTTAATGAATAATAACAGATATCAGTTCTTAATTGTAATATTGTTGAGCTGCTTATAATCAATACATAGCCTGAGCTTGCTGTTTTTCTTAAATACAAACAGAATGAGATATTCTGCTGATAATCGCAATGATTATATATATCCCTTCTTAAGATTCTCATCGAGATACTCCCTAAGTGCTTCTAGCCATACCTTGTCTAGTCCGTAGATGGGGAAGAATTTGAGCTGTTTTCCTTCCTGTAGCAGAATCTCGTGATTATATAGGCTGTATTCTGATAATCCTATATCCAATTCTTCCTGGAACAGTTTCTTGAACTTGTAATATTCTCATAGTATATTCGCAAGTATTGATTCTGATCCTTGCGCTGTTTCTGCTATCTGGAGGAACAGTAGGTACTATTAAGCATGCTTCTTTTCTGATAGCGTTTTTGAGAGCCTTAAGCGTTCGCTCCAGGCTGGAGCGAGTGCTCAAGGGCCTGGTTTCGAGATTTTTCCTGTATAGATCTACAATTCACTTTCTGAAGCTTTTCCTTATCGCTCCGGAGCGGACCAACTTGCTGAAGATCTCACTTCCGTTGTTTTGCTAACCTATTAGCATCCTAGCACTGTTTGAGTTCGCCTGTTACTAGATTCTTCTCCTTGAACTGCTAGCCCTGCTAACTTGGAGGTATATATGAAGTCGTCTGAAGCCTCTTTTCCCGAGTATTCTTCAATAACTAGCTTCGATCCTGCATTGTTGATTGCAACTATCTCTCTGAATACAGCTTATTCCTATAAGATCTAGCCAGTAGTCTAATCAATTCGAGAATTATGCTCCTTAAGCCATAGAAATCCTATAATCAGCTTATATTGTGCTATATCTGTAATATTAAAAGAAGCTCTGATTATACATTCTTGGATTAAGATAAGTAGATAATTAATTTTCTTATCAATTACTCCTTGATTGTATGCAACAGATTATTCTTTCATGATGCTAAGGGTATATGAGCATCTCTTCCATCTTCATTATAGCTGTACCTGATTAACAATATGTAGAGATATAAAGTTTCTCTGAGTATTACTATTCAATAGTACGCTGTATTTATATCCTTGAATATATATGTTAAACTTGATGTAAGCATAATCTATTCTGAAAGCTTCATATAGAAACTATTCCAGTCTAATCATCTGCAGTCTCTTTACAAGCAATCCTGTTCTTTTGAGTTTATTAAGAACTGCTTATTCTTCTAAGCCTGCTTCGCTGCTTCTTAAGCAAGCTTCTTAGCTTACTTTTGCTTATATTATTATTATTCCTAATCTTTCTTCTATTGATACTAGTTGCAAACCTTATTATTAATATGAATCATACAGAATATCATCTTATACTGCTATCATTTTATTTCCTTATTCATGCATTGCATGAAGCAATCATCTGATAGTCCGATATATGTATTGTAGTACTGTTTATTGAGAACCTTTCTAAAGCGGAGTTCTTATTCTTCAATAGCCTGAAGAATTTGTTCTGATTCTCTAATGAAGAACTATTCATATTGCATCTTCTCTGAGAAATGCATTCTGCAGCTATGATAGATGCAGAAGATTCAAGCTAGTTCGTAATATAAATCATGAAGTAAGCTAATTCAAGAATTCTTATCTTCTCGCAATTCGATGCTTTGCAAGGAGATATAGATAAAGAGCTTCTCTAACCCTATTCCATAAACGAAATATTCAACTCATATTGTTTTCTTATTCTATCCAATGCTAAAGAGAAGCCTTCCTGTAAGCTTCTTGGATTCATTATTCACAGAAGACTTCGGTAAATCATTAGATCGTTTATTCTAGCTTAATCTTTCTGTTGCCTGAGAAGCATTCTCTATATTGCTTAGATATTTATACCAGTAGCCAAGAGAGTACCATCCCTTGTTCATATCCCTAGCTATGATATCTGGTACAGGTGATGGGGAATGGCGAAGAGCACCGTTGTTAAGCCCTTCCTCCAGCGCCTGGATGCTTCGTTCAGTAACATCGGAGCAATCCGAGTTGTTGCTGCTCATAGTTGTGCTGAGCGTATACCCTCGCCCTGCTATCGCTATCTGCCTGTGGCGCCTAGGTTTCTGAGGAAACCATTCTGAACCTTCCTTACTCGAAAGGTGTATTAAGCAGTTATCATCATAGCAGAATATCCAGCTGAGACTTCCGTAATCAACAGAATCCGATACTTGCTCCGAGAGAGTGTTGCTCAGTTGATTGAGTTCCTATCATCGAGCAACATTCATCTAGCATCCTTCCTAAACTAGTTGCCATTTATTCTTCCGGAGTTAATAGCAGTTGCATGCAATATATCCTTGTTTATTGCAGTTATAGCAAGTAATACCGTTCTTCTTGCTATACTGCCTGTTAGCTGCATCGAGTTCCATGGGATCAGCATGCATAGTACCGCTCTAAGCCGTACTGCTATATCAACTGCTATTCTTATTTTGGAGTTTCTTACCCGTATTAGCTAGAAACCTCCAAATCTAGCTTCCTTCCTTCTTGAACTTCTTTATCCATTATTCATACAGACAGTTATCGATGCAGATAGCTTGATTAAAGAATATTGCAAAGTTCTCCAGCTAATCCTGCTTAAAGATCTTATTCTTAATATCATCCTTGAGTTCCTTATAGTAGTATTTCATGAGATTCTTGTCTTCCTATAGGAGTTATGCTAAGAATTGCTTAAATCTGATTATATAAGCAGAAGCTGATTTGATCTGCTTGAGATCCATAAGCTGCTAAGCTGTAATGCATTCTTCGTTGGAATTACTAAAGATTTTCTTAAGAGCTTTCTCGAAGCTTTCAAAGGAATTGAATATATTCTTGGTATTCTGGATATGCGCATTGGAATTATTCTGATGCTTCAAGTGGTTATATAGAGAAGGTTTGTACTAAATGAGAGCATTCTTTTCGAGACGAATCCCTGCGAGAATAATCTTCTCAGATTCCTTAGTAAACTGAGTTTTGTGATACAGGAAATACGCCCTGCAGTGAGTAAGGAATCCATGCAGCGTTTTCTGATTGCTGTTATATATAGCAGGCTTGTTCATCTTGTACGCCTTTCCAGCACCACTGGTGGCTGTAGAGGTGAACTGCGCCTGTTAGGCCTGTTGAGCTAGCTGGGCCTGTTAGTTGGCAATGGTGGCGCTCTGGGCCTGCTGTTATTCGCGCAGATTCTGGATACGCTGAGTAAGCTGGTATACCTAATTAACCAGTTCTTCCTGAATAGGAGCGTGCAAGAACGAAGGGATTCCTGAGGGAGCTATCGTATTCTGTATTGCTCAAGAGGATAATACTGAACTGTTCTTGAACAAGAGTTGTCAAAATGTAATGAGTACTGCAGCAATCTGAAGATTTCCAAGTATACAAAGAGGTTTATGCTAATAAGAGCAGTGTCGAAGTATCAAATTCTTGAATACGGAACCGTACAAGTCTCAATAAGCGATGCAAGTATTCACTGCTTTTGGGGCTATCAGAGTAAAGAGTAATCTGATACTTAGATTGATAACTGAAGAGCTATGTACTGAATCTATCTAATGGTAATGAATGTGTCCTTATATATTCAGCTCTTCAGTGTAGCTCGTTGGGATCGCTGGTAAGTATAGCGATCCAAGGTGTGAAGCTCGTTGGGATCGCTAGCGAGCCCAACGATCCTCCCTCCTTTACAACCCTAACCCTGGGTTATGTAATCAATGCTTTGTCAGAACGTTGAGTCCTTGACACCTGGTCCCTGTTACTCATGACCTGTTCTGTGACCTGCATGTTGGATGGGTCATAACACGAGTATTGTATGCTAATGAAGTAGTATTACTACTTTTCGAAAGCTTTTATTATTATTATAAGTTTCTAATTAGAGATTCTATAGTTGATTTCTGAGCTATTTAATTTCTTTAAAAAGTTGCTTATAATTCTTAGATACTCTTAGTTATTTTGCTAGCTAAGTTATTCTCTGAATGCATATTCTAATGCATTGATTTTAATTTCAAAAGATTTATAGGAATCTGCTTTATACAGAATTGATTCTGAAGTAATATGCTTAATAATCTTATTAAAAGCTTCTTATACTTTAGAAATTTACTTAAAGAATTGATTTCTTTTAATAAGATTTGTAAAAGAATATGCAATTCAGCTATAGTTCTTAATAAATTATTTGTAAAAGTTGATATATTCGAAAAAAGATCTAATATTCTTAATATTCCTGAGAACTAGCTAATTTCTAATAGCTTCTATCTTGTTTTTCTGTAGCTTAATACATTCTAGCTTAATTATAAATCCAAGGTAATTAATCTTTTATATATAAAAGTAATTCTTTACAGATTCTATAAGAAGTTTTGCATCTTAGAGCGTTTGCAATACTGTTTTCATATATTTCTTATATTCTTCAAGTATTCAAGAATAGATAAGAATATTATTAAGATAAGCAATAATGAACTAATTTAAATGCTTATATAGAATATAATTAATTATTTTCTGGAATAAAGCTGGAGTATTTATTAAATTAAAGAGCATAATCAAATATTTGTAGTATTTATAGCATATTCTGAAAGCAGTTTTCCATTCTTCTTCTTTCTTTATTCTAATTAGATTATAAGCTCTTTTTAGATCTAGAACTGTAAATCATTATACTCCTTATAATCTATCTTATAGTTTCTTAATAAGTAGCAACGAATATTAGTTCTTAATTATAATATCATTGAGTTGTTTATAGTTAATATATAATCTAAGCTTGCTATTCTTCTTAAGTATAAACAGAATAAGATATTCTGCTAGTAATTGCAATGATTATATATATTCTTTCTTAAGATTCTTGTTGAGATATTTCCTAAGTATTTCTAGCTATACTTTATTTAATCTGTAGATAGGGAAGAATTTGAGCTGTTTTCCTTCTTGTAGCAGAATCTTGTAATTATATAAGCTGTATTCTAGCAATTCTGTATTCAATTCTTTCTGAAATAGTTTCTTGAACTTATGATATTCTTATAATATATTTGCAAGTATTAGTTCTGATTCTTATGCTGTTTCTGCTATCTGGAGAAACAGTATGTCAGGTGGAAAGGTTGCAAAGGCAATGTGGCGAGGTTTTTTCTCTCTTTCAGGTATATACAACCAGAATAACATTGAGGCCTAAGGAGCTAAGTTCTGCTCAGCAGTGCTGATGTGGCTAGAAAGCCGCTTTATAGCTGCATATTGCTTAGTCATCCGTAATCCAGCTGGCTTAGCTAGCCCTGAGCTTTGCTGGCACAATCAGCTCTGACAGATTGTCCCCCCTTATCAGGCCTTGTTCTCAAGGCTTTTGAGGCTTCCGAGCTTTCGTTGCTTTCAGGCTTCCGTTGCTCCCAGGCTTCCGTTGCTCCCAGGCTTCCGTTGCTTCCAGGCTTTCGCTGCTTCCTAGCTGCTCCTATGCTTTCTCAATGCTTCAGGCTCTTAAGATCTCTCAGTGCTTCAAGCTTCTCAAAGCTTCTCAAGATCTCTCAGTGCCTCAGGTTTCTCAAAGCCTCTCAAGATCTCTCAGTGCCTCAGGCTTCTCAAGGCCTTTCAAGATCTCTCAGTGCCTCAGGCTTCTAGGCCACTCAAGGTCTCTCAAGGTCTCTCAGTGCCTCAGGCCTCTCAAGATCTCTCAGTGCTTCAGGTTTCTCAAAGCCTCTCAAGATCTCTCAAGATCTCTCAGTGCCTCAGGCTTCTAAGCCACTCAAGGTCTCTCAAGGTCTCTCAGTGCTTCAGGCCTCTCAAGGCCTCTCAAGGTCTCTCAGTGCCTCAGGCTTCTAAGCTACTCAAGGTCTCTCAAGATCTCTCAGTGCCTCAAGCCTCTCAAGGCCTCTCAAGATCTCTCAGTGCCTCAGGCCTCTCAAGGCTTCTCAAGGCCTCTCAACCATCTCCCTCCTTCTCTTCTGGCTTCATTCCCAAAGCCTGTGAAAAAAAAAATCTCTTTTTAATCATATTCCAGATGTAAGTCTTCCGAATGCAATATCTGCACTATATACGCTGCTCAGTTGCTGCTCTTTCAGCACTTTATTCAAGCACTCTTCAGAACTTAAAGCTGTTTAATATAGATTATAAGCTTTCTACTAGAGATTTAATTTGCAGCTAAGAAGCTCAGTATTCAGAACAGCATCTCTGCAGCTATAACGAATAATTACAGCTTTTTGTTTTGAGAATTGCTCTCTAGTAACTCTAAAGCTATTACTATACTTTGCTTTATTACTAAGTATAGAAGAATAATTAGTTTGCAATCTAATATCTAAGCAATTTTAGTTATTAAGCAGATATTCTGCTTTAGCTCTGCACTCTTGCTTAAATAGCAAAGAGCATACTTTTGAAAATAAAAGATACTCAGATCTACTGCTTGCTTACTCTGCTCTCTCATTTGAATAGCAAAGAATATATTCTTGAAAATAGAAGATATTCAGATTTATTGCTTGCTTATTCTGCTCTCTTGCTCGAATAGCGAAGAATACACTCTCGAAAACAGAAGATACTTAGATCTACTGCTTGCTTACTCTGCTCTTTTGCTTGAATAGCAAAGAATATACTCTTGAAAATAGAAGATACTCAGATCTACTGCTTGCTTATTCTGCTTTCTTGCTCGAATAGCGAAGAATATACTTTATTCTAGCTTAGCAACTCGAATGCTCTGAATTTCTTCTGAATGCTTCTTGCATGCTGCTTATATACTGCTTGCTTGCTATTTGCTCTAGCTTAGCAATTCGAATATTCTAAATCTCTTCTGAATGTTTCTTGCATGCTGCTTGCATACTGCTTGCTCGCTGTTTGCTTTAGCTTAGCAACTTGAATGCTCTAAATCTCTTCTAAATGCTTCTCGCACGCTGCTTGTATACTGCTTGCTCGCTGTTTGCTCTAGCTTAGCGATTCGAATGCTCTGAATCTCTTCTGAATACTTCTTGCATGCTGCTTGCATACTGCTTGCTCGCTGTTTGCTCTAGCTTAGCAACTCGAATGCTCTAAATCTCTTCTGAATGCTTCTTGCATGCTGCTTGCATACTGCTTGCTCAACACTGCTTGCTCGCTATATGCTCTAGCTTAGCAACTCGAATGCTTTAAATCTCTTCTGAATGCTTCTTGCACGCTGCTTGCATACTGCTTGCTCAGCACTGCTTGCTCGCTGTATTCAAGGCTCGAAAGCTCGAAAATCGAAGGCTCGAAGGTCAAAGGCTCGAAGGTCAAAGGCTCGAAGATCAAAGGCTCGAAGGTTAAAGGCTCGAAGGTTCGAAAAGGATAGTAGTCTGATCGTTTGCTCTGCTCCTGCTCAGTATTAGCGCTGCTCCTAAGGAAAAAAAAGATAGAAAGCCTCGCTGGATTGCTTCCTTTAAAAGGGCTAGGCTTCAAACTATCAGATGGAAAGGTTGCAAAGGCAATGTAGCAAAGTCTTTTCTCTCTTTCAGGTGTATATAACCAAAATAACATTAAAGCCTAAGGAGCTAAGTTCTGCTCAGCAGTGCTGATATGGCTAGAAAGCCGCTTTATAGCCGCATATTGCTTAGTCATCCGTAATCCAGCTGGCTTAGCTAGCCCTGAGCCTTGCTAGCACAATCAGCTCTGACACAGTAGATACTGTTGAGTATGCTTCTTTTCGTTTATTGTTTTTAACAACGTTTTTAAGAGCTTTAAGCGTTCGCTCCAGGCTGAACTGAGCGCTCAAGAGCCTAGTTTCGAGGTTTTTCCTGTATAGATTCACAATTCACATTCTGAAGCTTTTTCTTATTGCTCCGAAGCGGATCATCTTGCTGAGAATCTTGCTTCCATTGTTTTGCTAACCTATTAGCATTCTAGCACTATTTGAGTTCGCTTATTACTAGATCCTTCTTCTTGAACTGCTAGCTCTGCTGTTTTGAAAGTATATAGGAAGTTATATAAAGCTTCTTTTTCTAAATATTCTTCAATCACTAGCTTCGATTCTGCATTATTAATTATAACTATCTCTCTAGATATAGCTTGTTCTTATAAGATCTAGCCAGTAGTTCAATCGATTCAAGAATTATGCTTCTTAAGCTATAAAAGCTCTATAATCAGCTTATGCTATGCTATATTCGTAATATCAAAGAAAGCTCTGATTATGCATTTTTGAATTAAGATAGATAGA